ATTAATTATTATAAAATGTTAAAAAGCTTAATGTTAAAAAGCTGAGGGTGAAACGAGTTTTATAATAATAAAAAATTTATAAATTCTAAAAATAATGAGTAAAATCTTCAATAAGTCAGACCCCCCCATTCGAGATAAGACACAAGATTTCTCTCTATCTCTCTACCCTCTCGACCTTTAACCACCAAAATTTAATAGAATGAATTCCTTTAATACACAAATCTCCCTGTAAAATTTCAGAAATTTTCGACAAAAGGTACAAGAGTTATCAAGCTTCAAAGAAGAGAAACTCTAAAGCTTCAGTAAATATATATAAGTTTTTAACAAAAATGTTAAATAGTACTAAAGAGTTCAGATATATTATCTTACATTCTTTATCCTCACAAAGTAATTAAGGTCTATTGACAGCTCTTCACAATGATTGAAGATATAAAATATTCTATTCCACAAGTACCGACATTATCAAGAATAATAAAACGAAATTCTTTAACTACATAATACAAATTCAATAAACGTTTTATAAGGTTTTTTCTTTGCAATTAGTTTGAATTATCTCAAGAGAATATAAATTTAAACAATAAAAAAAAAAACTCCATTTGTAAATGCTTAATTTATCACTAAAGTTCATAATGAATTTTAAGAAACTTTAATATAATTTTTTATAAATTAATTTAAAATATGGTTTTTGTATATATATACACACAGAATATTCTGATTTTAGATTAATATTATGGTATTATTTGACTTATAAACGAAGATATTTCAAATATAACTTATTATACATGAATTTCAGGTGGGGGGAAAACATTATAAATTTGTATGTATTTTATAACGAATAAAAGATTTCACGAAATTAAAGTGCCTGTAATTTTGCTGAAAGTGTTCTCTCGACATGTATACCAATAACAATAGCCACCTGCAACCAAAACAAGTTTACTTTATTATTTTTTTGGGAGCGGTCAACTACCTTAGGGCGTATTCGAGAACCAGACGGACACTTGCTTTTTAAAGCTATCCAATTGAAAACTTGAGCAAACTTTCTTTTTTGTTTTTTTTTTTTGTTTTTATCACTTTAAATGAATGTCCATACGCAATTTAGTGAATAAAACTTCTTTAAGAACTTCACGCTGCTTGGTTTCATTCATGTTCAGGTTCACTTTCCTTAATTATGATATGATTTTCGAACATAGATTTGATATTTGAGAGTGGATTTTTCTAACTCAAATAATTTACAAGAAGTTTTATAACTCAATTATTATCTAATCTTTAATAATTTCTATACATTGGACCATTTATAAACTCGTATCGTTTAACGATAGAACTAATAAATCAGAAGAAACTGTGTCTAAATTTTATAAAAATGAATAAATAATTGTTTGTTAACAATGAAAACAATAGGGCAATTTAGCTTTACGGATGGACACAAGATGGACAATAAATAAATAAATCTTTTATATCAAGTCTGTCACGTTGCAAGAATTTACTCTTTAATGTGCAGAATTAATGTCAGTTTTCACAGTGGCGTGTTATTCTATGGGCAAAAAAGATAGTTGTATGGGGCCAAACCAACAGGGGACCCCAAATTAACCTTTTTATAAGAAATATATACCCGTCGAAACATTCCTCGAAGAAAACTGTCTGAAGTCAATACCGTACATGGGGCACCCTAAAATTCAAATTTGCCTGGGTTCCATGAAAGTATAATGCTTCCTTCAATTGGAATCATATTTTAAAACAATTTTTAAAAGATTCTATTGATTTCTTTTCAATTTTAAGGACCGAGACGGTAAAGGCTTCAACTCATCGTTCTGAGGAATTTGGGTTCGGGTGCAGATCGGATCCTGAGAAATTTTCGTGGGTATTTTGACCCGGATTTGCCGAACCTCTCCCTCATCACTCGCCCTTATATATGCCCGGCCGTATGCATGATGGGAATGAAAAAAAAAGGCCCTTTTAGTGCCTCCGAGGCATAAAAGAGTTAAAGAAGGTCACTTCACGAAGTATGACACATTGGATAATAGGTCTACTGATTTCCAATGCTTTCTTTCTCTTCTGAAGAACCAGACAATAGAACATCAGCATATAATTAATCATAACCTTTTTTTTGTAATTTTAATATTATCATCTTTAGATAAAAAGACAAAGTTACCAGAATTTTATTTTTTTTTATTTGTTTTCATTTAGTTTCTCAGTCTCCACAATAAAGGATAATTAAATAATGTTTTTCTTTATTTGGTATGGACAAGATCAAGAAAAAAATTTAAAAAGTTTTCATTTTATACAATATTTTGTGTGATGACCACGTCATGGATGAGTGACATTATTCATTTTCAATTGCAATAGCTAGGAATTGATAATATTTTTTTGTTTTTTTAAAAAAAATCAAGAATAAAATTAAATTAAATTGCAATTCTAACTTGNAATCAAAACAATTTTGAGAAATTTCGGAAATATTAGAAGGAATATTGAAAATATTTAGATAAAAAGTATCTGATTGTGATTATTTACGTGTAAATAATCCTTATTTACTTTATCTAAATTATTATACAACGTAAAATTGTAGTGTAAAATTGTAGTTTAAATGCCAATATACAATTTTCGTTTCTGTTAAAATCTTGGGAAATCCTCACTTAATCTCTATTAAAATGGATTATTTTTATAGATAAAGTATAAAATTTTTGTCTCTACATCTTCTATCTTTGATTTAATACTGGTTTCATACAGTAAATATAAATTTCAACATAGACACACGTTATGTACACTTGTCGCAATTTTGTATTAATGCCCCTCCACCTTTTCTAAACTGTTTTACACCTTTCTTCAATATTTGTACCTGTAAAAATCTATTATATTTTTGTAACACTTGTTATAAATCGAAGTGGAAAATTAATAAATTTAGATCTAGGAAAACTAATGTCTTATATAGACGGGTCTTGGTGACTGTTGTCATGGTAACGGGACTGACCGGCGCGTCATTTGTCCTGAATTCGTAACCTCTCCATCCTCTCTTTTCTTTTGATCGAATTATTAACATTTTCATTTTTCCAATTTTATCAAAAATTCCAATGATATTTTTCGTATAATTTTACAAATTAATTCTATTAATCTATAATGTAATTAATAAAATACGTATAAAAATTTGAAGCATTCCTGGTTCATCTCTTATTAAATGCTTTAATTTTTTATTTATTTATTAGTTAAATTATTAAAACTTAAATAAATTTAATAATAATTATTAAATATAAACTTCACGACTCTTTATTTACTTTAAATACTATTTAGTTACGATTAGAGAAAAATGTTAAAGTTTATTTTATTTCCTTAAAACATCATTAAAAGTTATAATTTCGATTTATATATTTACTCTATTTAATTTTTAATTCATTTTTAACTTAATCTTAGAGCTGTTTTTTTTAAAAAAAAACTATAATTATCGTGTTAAAAATTAGACAAAATAGATAATATTTCCTCTATAAATTCTCGTCGAAAATAATAATAATAATTACACGTTATTTTTTAAATTAAAAAAAAAACACTCTTCACAATTTATATAAAAATTTCGAATTCTATACCACTTACACCAACTTCTATATATATATAAAACTCATATACAAAATAAAAATAAGTTTCTCCTTCATTAGAAAAATGAAGAAGTAACGAAACACGTTGACTAACTTCTAATTAATTTAAGAATCTTGTTAGAAGAGTCTATATTTATTGAAACCATGCCAAAAATTACACGTGAAAGAACCCCCCCAAAAGAAAAAAAAAATGATAAGGGGTCGTGCAAACTGCATTGCGATATACTGCATATGGTGGCGCTCCTGATGTTTGTTTCCTATTAGAGATGGTCCGACCGAACAGGAGTTCTCAGTAGAGAAGGGGGATGCCTCACGACTAGATGGCTCTACAAATGCAGCTCAGTTTTCTCTTGTTGTGTTTGGTTTCTTCTTTCGTAGTCAAGAGCGAAGAGGGTAAGTGCCATCCCCCCTTTTTTTCCTCTCTTCTTTATTTTTTATTTATGCGAGGACGGGAGACTCCTCTTCTTCTAACTCTCTTCTTATAAATAAACTTTTGTTAACTTGTATCTAATTTTGTAATGTTGGCGAAAAATATTTACTTCTGTTCGACAATGAATTTAGTAACTGTAACTATTATCATTATTATTATTTTAAAAACGATGATCTTTTTATATAAAAATAAAATCGTAATTAATAAAATTGTAAAAGTATTCGTGAATATTTTATGTTTTCTTAATTGTAAATTATAAAATAATCCTTAATTGATTTATATTTATTTATTATTATTTTTAGATTTTTTTTTTTAATAATATATCTTCATTTTTTTTTTCCTGACATTTTCTTTAAGTTTTGATAATTTTTAGAAAAATAAATAAATACTTTCTTGGTATTGTGTAAGAAGGATTATACAGGTAATCAAACCTATAAAAATTTAAAGTATATCTGGTTAACCATATAAATCAGGTTTATGTTGTTTAGAAATCGATAAACAAAAATAGATCTTAAAAGAATTCTTGGCATAATAAAATCGATCTGCTAAAAGTTATTGCATACAGTTCTATACATATTGTCATTAAATTTAATAATAATTAATTAATTAAATTTGGAATTCTTGTATTGAATTGCAAATTCTTGTATTGAATTCCAAATTCCTGTATTGAATTCCAAATTCTTGTATTGAATAGGAAGAAATTCGAAATAAATTTCAAATTTCTTCCTATTTCAATACAAGAATTCCAAAAAAAAAAAAAAATTAAATATATTTTCTATTAGATCTAATAATAAAACTGCTAAAGTACTGATTGTTAAAATTATATAAACAATGCAATTAAAATAGTTAAATTTTATTTATTTACTTTATTTCTAATGAGAAAATCTTTCTCTATCAGAAAAAGTGCTGACCAACTTCTATCAGTAACAATAGAAAGTTTTATGTAAAATGATATCAGACTTTTATAAGATAACAAATTAAAAAAAAAAAAAGAAAAGAAAGAAAAAGGTTCTTTACAGTAGTTTATTTAATTCAGAGCCTCGAGTCTGACCTGCTGCTAACACTTGATCCTTTTTTTAAATGCAACCTTGGAACGAAATGCCTTCCATTGTCTATTAAATATATTTATTAAGTTCTCTCGAATGCACTTCATAAGTTTCTATGAATAAATTGACATTTCTTTTATTTATAAATAGAGAACTGCAGTATTCATATTTATTTTACTTAATAGGATGACAAAAATATATTTTAACTCTCTTATCCTCTTAAATATTTATATACTTTATTTATTTAAAAAAAAAAATGAGTATTAAGATCTTAATTTTAAGCAGAAGAAGATGTATCTCTTGGGCAACAGACTAATTGTTTGTAAATATTTTGGAGTAAAAGAAGAATCGAGACATTTGAAACTATTATGAAGTCGTTGAATGGAGGTACGAACCGGTTTCTCTCGATAGTCACGTGAAATCAAAGGCACTCGCCACTAGTTTCCAGTCACGTGATGGGTACCAAGTGAAACTAGACGATTTAAAATAACAAATCCGTTTTCTAATGATTTATTCATTGAATATTAAAGAAGAGATCCGCCTGTTCGGCATTTATTCCATAATCTCGATTCGATTACATTTAATTTTTTTTTTTTTAAGGTCATTATAAGTTTCAATTATAAATAACTTATACACTATATAATATCTTATTCGGTAAAATTATAAATATATAATTTTACTTTTAATTTAAGTTTTCTAAGTGATGTTATATATCTTTACTTTTGCTCGATATTGCATAGAAATTCTCATAAAAACATAAAAATATTTGATTGAAAAAATGATCTTTTACGTTTAAATTGTATAAATATAAATAAATATTATGTTGAATTTAAGATAAAGTATAAAAAATTGGGACTTATATATATATATATCTTTTTTTCTATTATCATTCCTTCAGCACTTGTTC